GCTGGACCCGGCTCCAACGCGGCTGGTTCATCCCCATCCAACCTCCCCGTGGCTTTCGTGGTGAAAGGGACAGAGAGGTGTTTTTCTTCCTTAACAATCCAAAGGGCTCCGAGGCCCCGAGGTTTCTCCTCCCCTTGCAGGTCTGTGCTATCTCAGCTCCATCCTCTTCCAAAATGCCTTTGTGTTTGTCTTTACCTGCCACCTAATTTGCTTAAGGCCCAGCTAGAATTAACGCACAATCACTTATTCCTTAATTATCATCCAATTGTTTATTGAAAAAAACATTCCTGTTGCTGCCCAGCTTAATCCATTGAGCCAACATGTGTGAACGTGGCTTTAAAAGAAGAGTAGTGGATGTGTGTGTGTTTGGGGTTAAGCTGTTTAACCCCAGTGCTCTGCGAAACCTGGCTGCAGCCCCTGGCTCTGCCACGTTACCCTCGTGTGACCTTAGGCAGGTCACCGTGGTTGACACCTGCTCCTTGGGCAGGCCTCCCAAAAGACGTCAGGTGCTAAGGTACCCCAAGGCCGGCTCTCCTCGATCCTTTGTGGACTGGGGTTCATCTGCAAGGAGACAAACCCTTCCCCGTTCCCATCTTCTCCGTGTAGCCAGGGACTGACTGTGCAGCACTGAGCACATGCAGGCTTCCCCTCGGTGCAGATGTTTCTGCAGCCCAGCGAAACATGCACTGCCACAGTCAGAAATGGGCCCTGGTCTAAATCTATAAACCATTAAGTTCTGTGACTTGACTCTTCTACTCTGTCCAATAAATAATTTTGTCCTGAATAATTTTTTTGAGACCTCCTCTCACATTAGAGCACTAACCTGCTGCGACCAGACAGCAGAGGAAGTCAAGTCTGGTTTCGGTTTCCCTAGCTGAATACCTCAGCCCCAGCTCGCTCCCCACGGTGGTTCTAGATTTGGTTCAGTATACTTCTCCATATGCCCAGATAACCTCAAAACCAAACCTCAATCTGCCTTCCAGGTGTAGCTGTCATTAGTAAATGCTCATTTTGTGTCAATCCCTGTGCTGGAAAAATTGTGGAGGTACAGACCCCTCCTGAGGGGATTACTCACAGCCGGCTGAACATGCCCGGGCCCAAGAGGAGGATCGCATCCGCAGGCAGCAGTGGGAGGTCTGGAGAGGAGCAGGCTTTGCTCTGCTCTTCCTCTGACCTCATAGGAGCTGGTTGTCCAGCAGCCAGCCCAGCTTGCAAACTGCTGGGAGGAAAGGAGCGTGAGCGAACATTGGGCACGGTTCTTGGCCGTGCCCACGAGTCAGCGGAGTATACACAGCTCTTGCTCCTACTCACTGGTTCTTGCTCTGCCATGACTCTGCGCCTTGGGTACCTGCAGAGCAGCTGCCCTCTTGCCAAGGGAAAAAAAAGTCTTGAATGTTGGGGTTTTTACACTCCACTGCTTTCTTGCTGGAAAAGTGGATTTTCAGTGGACCTGTTAAACCCCATGTAAACAAAGTCATCTAGCAGGTTGACTGTGTAACACTTAAATTCCACAGGGCTGGCCACTCCCAGCTTTAGGAGACAAAGCCACCTGGAGCATCTGAGAGGCCTAGCGCTGGCTTGTCTGCCCCAGGCAACGTTTGCTGCAAAGGGACAGGTGGACAGGGACTATCTCTTGCTACAGGGACTGGTTCCTAGGAGAGCAGAGCCCTGGCCTCAAGGCACTGCTCTAACTGTAACATCAGGGAACTTGGACTGCTCGCACTCCGACTCCTGGAGCGAGGTGGTGTTTGTCAAGCTGCAATCAGTGCTTACCTCACGGTCTCCTTCTTCCATCCTAGTTTGTAGCCCAGCTACTGGGTTTCCTGATCAGTGTGGTCAGCTCCATATTCTGTGGCCATCTGGGGAAAGCTGAGCTAGATGCTGTGACACTGGCCGTGTCCGTAAGTATTACTTTTTCTTCTCCGCTTTAAAGCGTACAGATTGTGTGCTCCCCCTAAAAATTTAAAAAATTCCTGGGGGAACGCTTGCCTGAGAACCCCATGTGTAAGCACAGCCTGATGCAGCACCGACGCTGCATCTACCAAATTGCTGTTGTCCAGAGCACAGCCAGGAGATGTGGGACTGAGCAGTAAATAACTGTGCCAGTACAAGGCCAGCACCTGGGCAGGGAGCTTGAGCCTGTGACCCAGTTCTTTGGACCTGCCAGACCTAGGCACACGTCTGTGGCTAGGAGTAGCACTGTTTGTGATCATTTAGATATTTGACCTGTGCTGGAGGATCCTTTTCCACAGCAGAAGAGGAAAGAAGCTATTTGGATAACATGTTATTCTGAGAAGCAGAGAAGGTCTGGAGACTTCCCAAAAACTCATAGCAGAACGTCTCCCCACCCAGCTGGGAGGGACACAGTGCTTTGGGCCAGGTCCCTTGTGACCCTCCCTTGCAGCCAGAGTTACCTCTCTCCTCCAGGTTATCAACGTGACGGGCATCTCCATTGGTTCTGGTTTAGCCTCAGCATGTGACACACTGATGTCCCAGGTCAGTAGCTGCTCCCCTCGTCCTGTGCCTGGTGGGGTTCAATGTGGTGGTGTCTCCTCTCCTATACAGTGTAATCTGGACACAGATGGTGGGAGGATGGCAGCTTCCAGCCAGCCTGGGGCTCCAAATGCACTGTCTGGAGCCTGTTCTCCTCAGGTGGGACATGGACAAGGAATGGATGGGGCTGAGCCAGACTCGCCCAGGAGCGATCCAGTGATCATGCCTGGGTAGCAAAGGGATGTGCATCCCAGCTGAGGTCCAGTTAAATCTAACCAGCCCAGTGCTAGTTGTTGCTGAGAGTGGGAGAAGAAACTGCATTTAATTGGTCTGTCACTACCTTTTCCCTCCAACCTTAACTCTCACCTTGGTGCTGTCTCCCCACTCAGACATATGGTGGCAAGAACCTGAAGCAGGTGGGCACCATCCTGCAGCGGGGGATCCTCATCCTGCTGCTGTGCTGCTTCCCTTGCTGGGCAGTCTTCATCAACACTGAGAGGCTCCTCCTGCTCATCCGACAGGACCCTGAGGTCTCCAGGTCGGGGGTGAGATCGAGTCTGACCCCTCTCTGGTCTGCCGTGTGTCAGGTGTCAGCTCTCCAGGCTCTGAAGACTCTGGTTCAGACAGGCCTTTCCAAGCTCTAGGGGGGGTGAACTCTGGGATCTTACTTGCCAACAAGGTCAGCAGAAACCAAGGTTATGGGTCCAGGGGCCCCTGAATCTTCTCTGGGAACTTTTAGGGTCCCCAGGCCAGCATGCCTGGGAGCTGAGGTGCTGCTGGGGCCTCTGTCTGTGTCCTCTGTAGCAAGAGGACTGCAGGGATTGTCCATCACCATTCAAGCCTGCTACAGGTATGGGTGGCTGGCAATAGCTGCTTTTTCTCCTCCAACCCTTCTGGACTGGCATTTGGCTGCAGTTGAGTCGCTGCTTAGTCGAAGTCAAGGCCTTGCAGAGTTTGAGTGCAATCTTGCCAGGTTTGGCTCTTGCTTTCCTGTATTGTTAACTAGGCCAACAACTCTCTTTCCAGGTTAACGCAGCTCTACGTGATGATCTTTATTCCAGCTCTTCCTGTAAGTTGCTGCTAAAGCTATTACAAGTTCTATATCCCTCAGTAACATTTGGGGGAAAGAGGGAGGGTCTTTGCCCTGTGGATCACAGGGCAGCATGATTTAGGGTTTTACAATGGGCCCCTTGATCTTAGGCCTTAACAGATAATGCACTGGCCAGTGGATGTTGCACTGGCAAACATGCACTCTCTCATCTTACTGCGCAAAGGCTTTTACTGCAGGCCACATCTCTGCACAATAAGTAGCTGTCTACAGACATTGGAACCAGGGGCTTCACGGCTTTGCTCTTAGCTCAGAGATAAAGGCTGAAGGTTGCTATTAGCACACACTTGTAGCCACCTGATTCTTGGCTAGTTACTCTGTCTTTCTGAAGAGATTCTCCTAAGACAGGGAGCAGTACCCCTGGAAAACAAGTGTCTGTAGGTTATTGCTTTCTTCCAAGATTTACGGGCTCTCTCATGTTGATGGGGAAGCCTGGGAGATCTGCAGTTTGGAGGCCAATCTTTCATCTTGGGGGGAATGGAGACGGTTAGGGTCCAGCCCAGGAGAGGGACGGTGCTGCTCTGCAAGGCATAGATTCTCCACAGGGCCCAGGAGGGGAAGCTGCTCCGTGGTTTGCCTTTTGTTACTCCTGGCTTAGGGTGCCGCAGTGCCAGCAGCCCTCCAAGCTTAAAAGAGACCACAAGCCCCAATATATTGTTGTGACATGCCTGGCTATGGCATCCTGACAAGGTGGTGGGAGGAGCTAAGGAAAGGGTTTATCCATGAGTGTTAAATTGTAGCTGGCTGTTGAACCATAGCAGCACCAGGGTTCCTCTCTGTGTGGGGTGGTGGGGAGGGTTTCCGGACTGCCTGGACAGTGTGCGGCAGTACTGATGAAATGAATCCTTACTTTTACAGGCGGCATTTCTGTACCAGCTACAGACAAGATATTTACAAAGTCAGGTATTATGTAACTAACTGGGCTCTGGGCCACAGATTAAAGGTATTCCTAAGAACATAGATAAGGCTGGTGATCTAAGTTCATCCTGTCCTGGGGAGCACTGGGCTGAGAAATGTCTCATCCCTAGTCTTCAGCCAGCCCTGCAGAGCAAGGAGAAGTAATGGGGACCAGCCTTGGGTTGCTACAGTCTCCCCATTGCTACCTCCCAGTTCTCCACACTGAGTTGATTGCTCCAGGTGTTGAGCCCTGCATGCTGCCTTCCACCTGTCCAAGACAATCCTGTTTCACCTGGAACAGAAGCCATCCTTTTGGCTTTCTCCTTGGGCACTTGCAAATCATCTCCCCAGTGTTCTCTGGATGGTGATAGGGTCCGTGATGGCTGTGGGTTTGGGCAATGCTGGGAAAGCAAACTCCAAAGTTTGTCTTTGGCTTCCAGGCGATCATTTTGCCTCAGGTGATTACGGGTATTGCAGCCAACATCCTCAATGTGGCCATGAACGCCATCTTTCTGTATGCACTGAAGCTGGGCATGGTGTAAGTGTCAGCAGAGGTGGTGGCAGCCTCTCCCTGGGTGAAGGGGTTTTCTTAGGGCTGTGGGAGGGTGTCATGGGTGCCTAGTTCTGCAGCCCTATGCCCCCAGCCAACCAGCCTGGAAAGAAAAGGCTGGGGGAGGACCTGCATGTGCAGGTCTGGCTCATGACCCAAGAGGCAGCAAAGCCTTGTGCATCTGCTTCTTTCCCACAGCTGCCACAAGGCGCCCATGGGTGCCACCAGGGCTCTTTTGCTGGAGTCGAGGTAGGGAAGGATGTTTTTTGTAACCTGCCCATGTTTCTCCCCAGGGGCTCTGCCTGGGCCAACACTGTTTCTCAGTACACTCAGGCCATTCTCCTCTTCCTTTATGTGTGGTGGAAGAAGATCCATGTGGAGACCTGGGGAGGTACTCTTCATAGCTTAATCCTTTTAAAATACTGCTGTCTGGCCTTGGGGATTTGGCGCTGTCACCAGGACTCAGGGTGTAGGTCTGATACAGGGATTACCATCCTCTCAGTGTGGGAAGAGACTGTGGCCGTGAACCCAAGCCCATGACTGTAGGCTCAAGTCCATTCTCTTTC